GCTTGGTAGTAGCAGCTTTTAGATAGTTGTGGACTCCATAACCAGTGCTGGTTAGCTTTCAGATGATCTCAGTTGGTCATTTCTTCAGAGATGAAGAATCCTGCCGATGGGAATTTGTCAAAAAGTGATGGGATTCGCTTTTGAGGGACCCTTTATTGATGCTTCAGTGTTTTCCTGCCTAGCCCATGAGCCGTTGTGTTCATGTCTCTCGGCAAGGTACCAAAACAGTTGCAAAGTTCCCTGAGCTTTCCTAAATACAAAGAGGGTCCTACCCACAGTGGTGTGGTTCAAAACTGGTGCTGGCCTTCCCTTCAGTTCTTGAGGAACTGCAGGGGGTTTTATTGCATCCCCTTCAATGGAGGAAGATCCTGGCTCTTTTTTAGCTTGCGTCCTGCGGAGGAGCAGGCCCTTTGCCTTCTGCAGAGTGAAGCTTGTGCTGCTTTATGCCTGTGATTTAGGGGGAAGCACGTGCAAGAACTTCCTGGATAGTAGTTGTCTTCGGGTGCAAGTAGGCTGGTTATTTGACATCAGACCTAAGATGGTCTGTGGTTTGAAGGAGACCTTTTCTTTCTAGCAAAGCTCTAAGAAAAATATTTAGTTTTGTTATACTGGTCGTGCATTGCGGAAACATGCTATTCCGTCCTTGGAGAGGACTCCTGTTGTAGTAGGCTTTTTATGGCTCTGATAGTTATCCGTGTCAGGAAGGTCAAATAGTACTTTCCTATGGTCCCGATTGCTCTTTGTGCAGATTAGTTCTACAGTGAAAGAAACGTCACCTTACTAGGCAGATGCTGTCTAGGGATTTTGCTCGCCAGTCTTGGGCATTTGGAGTGCAGCTCCTGTTACTGGCACTGGAATGAGAAATCTTAAGCTTGCTTTTTGCAAAGTGAAACTTGTGGTCCTCACATATATCACGACCCCAAATGATTTCTTTTAGTTGTCTCTCTGTGCTAATTAAATATATTTAATTTTTAGGACAGCTCTGCATCTCGCTTGTGCAAATGGCCATGTGGATGTCGTCACGTACCTAGTAGAAAACAAGTGTAAGCTAAATCTTTTGGACGGTGATAACAGAACACCACTGATGAAGGTATGTGGAATATGTTATGTTCTTGTAAGTGGGGCTTATTGATTATGCACTAAATGGTGTATATTGCAGGACTTTTTACATAGACCTGCGTAGAAATATGCATATCGTGACTGGTGTGGAATAGGCTTCTGTTGCTAGCCTTTGAAAGTGCTTCTATTTCCCAGCTTTGGGAAGCTGGGAAAATTGTAAAAGAGTGGAATGTGTATGCTGAAAGCTTATTGGGGTTTTTGGTTGTGGTTGTTGTTCTCAGGCAGTACAGTGCCAGCAGGAAAAATGTGTGGCTGTTCTGCTGGAGCGTGGTGCGGACCCGAATGTGGAAGATGCTGATGGCAACACTGCTCTTCACCTGGCTGTTCTATCTCCTAATACAAAGGTAGCGGGGCTGTTAATTGAACACGATGCCAATCTTGATGCCCAGAATAAGGTAAATTTTTGTATTTGTGAAGGAATTTCTTTCAAAAAGGTGCTTGAATATTTCTCTTGAAGGTTTTCTTGACTTTGATTTTTAACTTGATTTATTTATCTGTCCTTTCAGGAGGGATATACTCCACTTTTCCTTGCTGTCTCCGAGCATCACGAAGAGGTAGTCGAGTTTCTCCTTAGAAAAGGAGCTGATGTGAATGCTCGAGATCACCATGAAAGGTGAGGGCTTTATCCAAACTCCACATGGGTCTCTGTAGTACTCTTCAGGTTGGATTGATGAGAGGCATGGGAATGGACTCGGGGTGGGGGGAGGGGGGGGAACACAACAGGGAAAACCCAAACAAAACAGGGGGCTGCAGAGAAGAAGATATTTCTGTGTGACTTGTGACAGCAGGTCTGCAGTTGGCTGCTGTCATAGCTCAGTGGATGCTTTCTGCATTGAGCATTACAGGAAGGCGTTGTCTGTGGTGGCCATTCTGGCAGGAAACGTGCCACTAGCGCAGCAGGGTTGCCTCAGTTTGAAAGCAGTCTCCTGCGTAGCGGCAGAGTTTGCATGTGTTGACTGTCTGGAAGCTTTGTTTGAAGATTGAACATTTGTTATGTCTCCCTCGCCCACTCTTTTGTTGTTCTTAATTTAATGAAAATTGCTTTTTCTTTCATTCCTTTCAAAGTAATGGAGAAACTAAAGGATCTATTTCATATCGTATTTTGGATGTTTCAGAAATCCACTTATGGCTGCTGCTTCTGGTGGGGACCATAATTTGGTAAAAGTTCTTCGTGAATATGGTGCTGATGTTTCCCATAAAGACAGTAATGGACGGACAGCTGAGGATTATGCTGTTATTTACGATCATCCTAGGTAAATTTTTAACTTTATCATTAGAATAAGTTGTCACTGATCAGTGTGGGTTTTGTACCTTTTTGCTAACAGCACCAGAGTTTAATGGTGTGTTGACACTTGGCTAGCAGCTGTGCTCAGTTCCTGTGTCTCGTGTTAATTTGGAAGGTCATGAGAATTTCTGCCTAGAATTATCTATTAGATTACAAGTTTTGTTGCTAAGCTCACATCTGCCCAGTATAAACTCTAAAAGGTGTCTGTATCCTCCGGCTATCTAAACCCTCTCCCCAGACCAGCATGGTTGTCTTTACTGAATTCCACTACAAGGACCAGGAACTACCAGCCTGATAGCCCTTGTGTTAAAATCTTTACTCCTCTTATGCCCAGCTTTGTTCCTGTGGGTGTTCCTTCTCTAAGCTGTTTATGTGTGCTTACAAGCTAGGCTGAAAAACTGGGCCAAAGCAGGAGTTAATAACTTCATAAATATGAATATGCATCTGTAGAATGAACATGTCTACTATAGTGAATACTGAAATACATAATAGTCATTCCATACGTTGACTGTGTAGGATGGATAATAAGTGGCTGTGAACTATTTCAATTAAATGGTATATGCAAATATGTGGTTATTTTTACCAAATATAACTTCCTCTCTTTCTCTGTGCAGTCTTAGTCAACAACTGGCACAACACACAGACTGGGAATGCACAGAAGCTTCTACAGGTGGTGCACAAGGCATCACAATACTCAACACTCCTCACCGGCCCATAATTTCTGGCTCTATGTTGGGTGCACCTGCCAAGGACAGAGGTAGGGTTCTTAACCATGGAGGAGCTCATGAGAAAAATCGCTGTGGCCTTTTCTTTAGGTGGTTTCTGTTGTTGATGCTTTGTATGTTCAGCACTGACTTTAGCAGAGGCGTCTGCTGGAGTAGCACAAGGAATTTCTTGAATGTGCTCATTTGTTGCGGGCTGGAGGTACTTCTCGTCAGGCTGTGAAGGCAGCTGTGATCTGTGTGCCGCATGTCCACTTCCAGGGCTGTTAGCTTCTGCCTGCCGGATTGTCCATCTCGCCAGGTTTTCTTAGAGAAAGAGAGAAGGGGGGGAGGGAAAGAACTAGATGAAAGTGGTTTTCGTTTTCAGGTGTGTACTTTTACTTAGAGATGGCCATTCACGTAGTGAAAACCCAATTGCAAAAGCAGTAGGTTTGGCCTGAGTGGTTGTTCATCTTTCTGTAGCTGGGAAGCAACAGATGAGTTAGCATATTTTTAAATATGTCAAGAAACATGAACAAAACATGGGATATGTTTCCTTACTGACTTTTCCCAGATATGAGAATTTAATTTAGAGCCAGACTTTGTTCCTATGATTTGGGAACAGTTGCATTCATCTAGTCAGAGATTTGTAAAGTTTGTGGACAGATTGAAGGATTTTTAAAAATTTTTTATTATTGTTGTTGTGTGATTCCAAAACTGACATACTCTCAGGGAGGTTTGGCTTCTTGAACCGAATAATTTGCCTCACTCTTTGAAAGTTATAATACTACTAATAAAAGTTGCCAATGTTACGGGAAATGTTTACTTCCTAACTTCAGCTGAAGAGGCACAGTAAGTATGAAGAGAGTGTTACGTGGATTAAGGACGTGGGAGGAGGAGGAGTGTGCTCTCTTCTCAGTCTGTTTCCGGTAGGGCTTGTTTTTCTCCGTAGTGTGAAACCATTTCTCCTGGTGCTCAGTCTCTTAAAAGATGACCCCAATGTGTTGAGTGAGTTTAGTAGCATATGGGAAACATTTACTGGCATTAATTCTGCAATCTTTGGCTTGTAGGCACAAAGCACATGTCCTGCATCATGAAAGTCCCTTTGTGTCACAGTAACAGGCTTTGAAGCCTCTGATAGAGGAGAAGCTGGGATGATCTTGAGAGACCAGAGAAACACTCATTTTGGAATTCTTTTCATTTGCTCTGTTTTGCCTTTTTTTTCCCCTGGGATCTGCAGCGTTGTCCTTATTCCTTTTGCACTAGTGGAACGTTCTTCAAAATATTCTCCTCTAATGAGCATGAGCAAGTCAGCACATTTAAGAAGTTGGCTCACGCTTGTTTGAACGTTTCTTTTTTGTCAGAACATGAACCTTCTTATTAATTGTAGACAGGTATGCAAAAACCCCCAAATAAATGGCTTTCAGCCCTAGAATATTGAATGACAGACTTTTTATATTTGAAGCTGGAATTTCTTTGACAAAAAGTAGTAATTATGCACTTTTTCTAAGGGCAAGGATTCAGATTTCCAGTATCTCTGCAGCACCAGCTTTTTTGTGTCTACTGCACTACCCGTTAGTGTGCTGTTCCTTCAGCGTTTCCCTGAGTCCCTGTGGAAACCGTTGGGTTTTCATCATAGAGCTCTCGGGAAAGAATTGGATACTTCAGTGGGATTTACGTTTCCTGAGGTCATGAGAAGTTGTACTGTATTACCATTTATGAAACGTGAGAAATGGAGGAGGAATGAGAAACCATCTTTAGGTCTTTTCTCAACTCTAAGTGTATGTTTTTTGATAGAAATTCTTTTATAGCATCCGTTCCGTATGTGTGGTAAAGGAGTCGCTTCTGCTCGGAGAAATATGTTATGGCCTAGTCACAAAGAAATTTGGCATCAGGTAGCTACAGTAACAGAACCATGCTGTCTGTTGACTTAAACTACACAATTCTAATGGACAGGATGGGTAGAGCTCGTGGGTAGTGATTTATATTCTGCAATTTCTGTTTCACAACACAGATGTGCACACACACAAACATGTAAGCGTGACACCGGTCATCACATCTGTTTTGGTCCCGTTCTAGCTCTGGGGGAACAGGGTCTTCATTCTGGCTGCTTGTCACGTCTGTGTTCTGGCTGGTAACAGATCTTGTGTACGTGAACAGTTCAGCATGGTCACATTGATATAAGCTGGACTCTCTTACCTTCAAACTGAGGTGGGGGGACCTGTATTTGCATCAGACACCAACTGGCTCAACTTTTAAGGTGAACTAGTTTTTAGGCAACAAGTTTCTGGGTTGCTTTTTTAGAGAGGGGTAACAAACGTGCTCGAACTGTAACGTGAGGTGATGAGTGGGTGTAAGTAACGTAATGGCTCACAACTGCATGGTGGTGTGATTACTGAGAGCCAAGATTTCCTTCAAAATTTCTGGATAGTTTATTGCCGAAGTTTAGTTGTAGGCACCTAAGGATTGTTGGGATGCTTAGAGGAAGTCATTTTAGATGTACTGTCTGTATAAAGCGCTCTAGAGGTGTGAAGGAATTGTATTTGCAGTCCCTGCTAGACAAGGACTAGTCAAGTTGATGGAAATACAAAGTTGGCAGGGGAGTAAATTTCTGAGAATCTGTTTCAGTATTTCAAAATACTGGAATGTGGGTATCTTACATGGAGCAAGTAAATGATGTTACAGTGTTTGACACTGTCCCTTGAGTAGAGTTCTGTAGATTGTGATTAGTTTTGTTTCTAGCACTTGTAACTGTGGAGTACGCTGATAGTTACAGTGCATTCTCCCATAACTATACCTTTGTTGTGCTTCTTATTTTTTCCAAATTTCTGGGAATTCACATTTATTCTGATGTCATTGTTTGATCTGTCCTTTCCATGCCTTTTCGTAAATGGATGTAGGAACGCAGCAATCTCCTAACCAGACATCAAGAACAGGAAAATCAAAGAAAGGTATTCTGTACAGTAGCATTTCAGCTATGAGACATGGCATATGTTATACAATTATTAACTCATTGATGGTGTTAATTATCCTGGAGGTCCCTATTTTGATGGATTGGGTTTTGTAAATTAGACTTGAGCACAAGCTTTGGGTGTTTTTTATTTGCATGTTTTGCGTGAGTCCTTTGTTGTTAAATTGTTTGCTTTGTGTCATTAGTGATAGTAGTTTTCCGAGGTTTTGTTCAGTATGCTCTCCTGTTACTCCAAAATGGCAATGAACATCAATTCAAGTGAAAACAAGCAATCCCCAGAGACTGCTTTTCTAGATCCAGTTTCTATGGGGGGATATCAAGGTTGTCCTAAAAGCAGCTAGCTCATGAACTTTCTTTCTCGCCTTTTAAAGGGCAATGTGACCTGATTTTGATCATTGCTTAATGTTACTCTTCCTTGAAAGCAAAAGTTCAGGTAACTTACTCAGATGGTTTGATTAAGTATAACTGTACTAATTGAAAATATAACTGAAGTCACCTGTCAGGAGTTTGTAACTGACTGTTGGGTGCTATTCACCCAGTT